CCCTACACTGATTTATTTTAAGAAAAAATTGATCTCCAGGTTCCTCTACTAGATGTTGAAAGGTAATAAATTTAGGGAATTGGAGCCTATGAGCCAGCAAAATGTCTTTTTATGGCAAGGTTGCTCACCCTTTGTAGAAAGCAAGTTATAATCCAACCGCTTCATTTGCTTTTCAACAAAGATTAGCCCTTTAGGAGGTACCACTCACACATCGTTTGAAAGCTATAAAGGAAAATGTGTAATTTTTTAATTAAAACCCCCCTACTTTGTATTTTGAAGACTTGTAGTGTTCTAAGAGAAGTCAACCTAGAGACCCTTAAAGGAAGAAAATAGATAATACTAGATGGGGGATATGATTGTCATAAAATCTATTTATATTGCTCTGACACAAGAAAATATACCCACTTTCAGGTCCCTTTATAGCCAGAGTGATATAGAAGCAAGTATAAATGAAAATTAGGTCTTTTAATTTCCTACTTTTGCAAAACAAAACAATGATGGTGGCTTATAAATCTGTAAAAGTAGCAAGATCTACTGTGTATCTTTTCCTACAGTCACATCTACTAAGATACACTACTGCAAACCTTGTTTAAGTACAAGTTTCTTTCTGAGAGACTGCTACGGTTCAATTCAGCCCCAAAAGATTATCAGGATCTTTATACTTTTAGATATCCTATTTGTGGGATATATTAATACAGGATTGTACAGGCTGGGATGAAGTTAGTTGTCTTCATAGCAGCTCATATGGTGTTGTGGTTTAGATTTGTGACCAAAACAGTGTTGATAACACACTGATGTTTTAGTTTTTGCTGAACAGTGTTTGCATAGTGTCAAGGCCTTTGCTGTTTCTCACTCTGCCGCCACAGCAAACAGATTGGGGGGTACGCAAGAGGTTGGGAGGAGACACAACCAGGCAGATGACCTGAACTACCCGAAGAGAGATTCCATGCCATATAATGTCATGCTTAGCAACAGAAAGGGAGAGGAAGGGGTTTAAGGGGGTCAGCCATCTTCTGCTCAGGAATTGGCTGGGCACCAGTCTACCCATGGAAGGTGGGGAGTGATTGCCTTTGCATCACTTGTTTTGTTTTGTTTTCCTTCTCTCTTCTTCAATTTCTTCACTTATTAAACAATATTTATCTTGACCCAAAAGTTTTCTTGCTTTCACTCTTCCTTTTCTCTTCCTCTGTCCCAGTGAGAGTTGGGGACAGTGATAGAGCGGCTGTGTGGTGCTTAGCTGCCTGCCAGGGTTAACCCACAACAAAGATGATTCCTAAGTCACATAATTTTTTAGAGAAATCTGCAACCCTTCTGCTTTGAATCAAGGTAAACTGAAAAGCTTTGTCAGGCATATGTATTTATGTAGGGGATATAGGAATGAAGTAATAACCTTCACAATAGCAATCCTTGTGTAGAAGATTAATGAGATCTGGTAGGTGGAAGGCCAAGGCTGCAACCTAACTCTGCTTGTGGGTGCAGGAAATACCTTATATATGCCTTATTCTCTGCGGCACATCTATTTCTTTGAAGCTGGTACCTGAAGGTTGGATTTACATTGCTGTTTATATTCAATATTCCAACTTAATAATACTGCTTAGCTGTTAAAGAGGGTAGCAATATATTGCACTGTGCAGGTGTGACTTATTTAGCAATTCTGACATGCTTATAGTGCAGGAATTCACTGCAAGACTTTATGAATCACACAAGGTTAGCAGTAGCCAGGGTACTGCCAAGAAACACTCCTCCCTGCAGTAGCACCATTTATGATGGCAGTGATTATCCTTTGCACCCTGAGTTAGCATGTAGCTCTCAACTCCCAGGGTGACAATGGTCACTATGCTGCAGTTGCTGCAATCTTTCATTTGAAGAGAAAAAAAACAGAGAAACTCTAAGAAATGCAATGTGTTAGTGCCAGCATTCTGTTTAGCTATAAGCATTTAAATTACATTTTCTCCATGTAAAGAGGTTTCCGTTTCCCTATAATCTCCCATTGATGAATATTTTTTTCCCTTCCTCTCTCAACTGTCATGTGTATACACACATCAAAGAGCTTCATTTCAGTTCAGTGATGGGTTAGGCGAAGGCTGATCAATGACAGATACATGTTCCTAAGGCACCAGTTCCGTTTTCAGAAACAACTCAGGTTTCCAGGGGTATATCTGCAGAAGGGAACTACGTGCATGAGTCTAACATACATTCACCACTGCTGTTTAGAAACTCCTCGCTTTACCCACTGGCTCTTGGATTTTGTTAGGGCTTAAATTTCCAGAGGAATTTGGTGCTATATATGGAAAGCTTTACTGCACTGCCGCTCTCTCAAACTTCCAACCCTCAGGTCCTCGGGTTTCCTGTGCCGTTAAGCAAGGTATGCAGGTACCTGGCATGGGTCTCAGAGTAACCAGTGTACAATATGCCCTAAGCAGCATACAGAAAAGCATCTGCATGAGCAGAATATGGCATAAAACCTGCCTCTTTCAAGACCATATACAGTTAAACTAGACTTTTCAAAGCATTAGGTGCTTTTGGAAATGTTACAGCTGAATCCGCAAATTGGTTTGTACTTGTATGGTGCATTAAACACCTTCTGAATATGAAGCATCATATGAATTAAATATGCTTTTACGTGCTCAGAGAAGGTGGTAGGAGGCTCTAAGTGGAGGTTTCCCAGTTTTCTCACTGCTGTGGACAAATTCGTTTATGCTTTACTAAATATGCCCTATGCAGTGCCCAGTTCTGCCAGCTCCCTGATTTACTCAAGGGTGCATGTGGCTGCAAGGTGACTGGGAGGGACCTGCCGAGCACTAACACCTCCCCAGGCGTGGGCTTTGTGCACTCAACTATGTGGTGCTAATATCAGTCCTATACTAGGACTTCCCTTCACCTGCCAATCCATGGTTATTATTTGTGCGATTATGCCAAATCCTGTTTATAGAATATGTTTCATCATACAGTTATCTAACAAACTCCTACCATAACACCCCATAAAGTAAGTCAATGGAGCCATATTCTTTCTTCTTTCCTTGTATTTTACATTAACCATCTTGACTGACAGCTAGTACCTAAAACCCCCTGATCTAAGTATTTGAGTTACTTCACTTAAGTTACTTCATCTTTCTGTGCTTCTAACTTTCCACTGTTTGTCATTCTCACTTGTCAAATTATGTCTAAAGTTGATTGTGAACTGCATGATGGTGTATTTTTATGTACTCTATGAAATGCTTAGTACAGTACCAGAACTCAGAAATAGCCTATTTATAGAATACTTATCAGCACAGCATTTAATATCTTAAGCTCTACAGTTTACTTTACCCTCATGTATATAAAAAACAGAAATACTGAAACATCCACTATGGTAGGTAAATTGGTTATAATTCCTTGCAAACCACATGCATGGAAGATCAATCTCTGATCAGATGATTGTAAAATATTTAAAAGTCAAGTGAAACCATATTAATAATTCTTTCTTTTTGTTTCACAAATCAAAATCTATTCCTCTGGGACAAACTATCTGTCAACACGCATAATTTTGCCTTTCTATAAAATTATTTTAAAATTTAAACTTTTAAACAAAAGAAATAATAATAGTCAGTTACCCCAACATGTGATCAATATTCTCCTATTCAGATTTTTGTATATATCTATTCCCCCAAAAAACACCCACTAGTATTTTTGCAGTACTTTCTGTAGTCTTTAGGTGCTAAATTAACAGCTGGAGAAAATTAATTTCCTCCTTTTGTCTAACCAAAAAACAGCAATAAATGTACAAGTCTCCTGCATCCTTTAGAGATCAAGTTGACTAACCCTGTCTTGAACGGACCATTCCAGTACTGGGGAATGTAATCTCAAAGTTCACTTGACACTGAGTCTTTCTCTTGCAACCTATCTACCAGAAATTTTGCTGGTAATACCAATTTATTTCACTTAAGACAACGATTAGTCAGCAGTCAGGGAAAATTTTCAGTCACTGCAATGTGGTTTGAATTGAACTTTGTTTGACTCTTGACTCCTGCGGAGAATTATGTAGGGTACAAAATATTCAGATTGGTACCGCCAAGTTTAAAAAAAAAAAAAGCCAGGAACTGGACATTGTTGCTTAGGGATGCAGTGGAGAACAACCACCAGCAGGGAAACGGAGTTCAGAGCAAGGTTTGCAAGGGAGTGTTATAAATGTTATAGGAGGAAAAATATTTTAATGTTATGAACAAATCCTTGGCAATGTCCTTTATAAAATGTTTCTGACTAGTCAAGTGTGCAAGATAAAGCTGTGCAGGTTGATTGAACTAGTACAACCAGCAATTGTGAAATGAATAATCCAAAGGCTGGCTGACCTTGGCAGCATTACAGAAGCAATCTTTACATAGGAATGAAGTGTTCTTAGATTATTTCTCCCTATATATTAGGTTTCAAACACACTTTTACTTCACCTTTGTAAAGAGCTTTGAAATCCCCAGGTGAAAAGTGCTATGTCCACTTAAAAGAAGAAAGTATGAAAATAGATGCATCTCTTTGTTCCAGCTATTACTTTTCTTGAACGTACATATTTACTGCTGATAATGCAAAGTAAATCCCATTGCCCTTATGCAAGATAGTTAAGCTCTCTGGACATCAGCCAGGGCTCTCCAAATTACCATAGTTTTTTGAATATAGGCCTCTCCCCTGCTTTTAAAATAAAATTAGAGCAGTCATTTCCTAGGAAGGTGGGGAGAAGGTAGCAGAAGAATACTGAAGCCTGACACAAGCTAACTCCCATGCCAAACTAGACCTCCTTCGCTTACAGAGACTGTGCAACTCTCCTTAATCCAAATTTGCAGAATTAGGGCTCGAAGTGATTTGGATAAATTACAAGGAAAATAGGAGCTGCCAGCACAGGGGAAAAAATAATGCCATGGCATTCAAAATGGCAATATTCACAAAAACAGGTGGTTGATCGTCATCTGAGGCAAGACAAAGATCTCTGGGGCAGGACGTATTTAAAAGCCCCCCAAACCTCTCCTTAGTCTTTGTATAACAAAAAGGGAACCAATATGCAGAATGACAGACACAGTGAACATGGTCTGAGTTTCACAGGATTTTTTTCAAGGTACACTTTTGTTTAATATCATTGCCATAAAGGATTTCAAGGCTCCAGGATGAAAGTCAAACTGTTCTCAAAGCTGACCACCCTACAAATCTCTGCATATTTCATGCAATGATTTAGCATTCCCACTCTGACGATATCCATGTTACAAGATAGATGTTATAAGCCACCTCATATACAAAGCAGCTTAAACCATTTACATTCCCTACTCTCACCAGGTGTCATCTAAAATTTTTGGTCAACCAGAGTGGAGGCTGGATCCAGTTTATCTAATTTTAACTAGTTATAAGAACTATCAATACTTATTACAAGGATCATCAATTATTAGAGATTTATTTAAAAATCTGAAAGCAATTCACCTATATATGATCATTCTTTGTTTTTAAGAGGGAATAATGAGTAGCTAAATTAAATGCTACTAATTTAATATGGAGAGATACAGTATATATCTTTATTCTTAATGGGTTTTCCCTGCCACTACTTCTTTTTCATTCCTTTCCACCTCCCTGAGGCAGGCTTGATCTTCTTGCTATTTCCCTCACCCTGAGAGCTCCCAATCTGAGACAGCAGGCAACAGGTTTTTTACAACTGGTTCTAAGGTAACAGCAGTCAGAAAGTGCTGTTTTGAAACAAAACACTCCACGTGTTTTCAAAAACTGCTTCTCTGTACTGTGAAGTGCCTAAACCCTTACATTCCTTGCAGCATAGATCATCTAAAGGTCAATCTGCCGCTCTACGGCTAGATCTAAGCTTTTAGCAAGGGAATTTCCTCTCCAGCAATCCAAGGCAGAGTGCAACTGGCAGTTTTATGCCTTTCTATAGCAATAATTTTATCTTAAACATTCATATGCATTATTCCCTCCATTTAAGGAAGCCTAGGACTGTGCTCCATTGGGGGAGGTGATGTGGAGATGACAACAGTAAGAAGTATCTGGCTGATTCAAGGCCAGGTGCCAGTAAGCATCATCCTGACTAGAATGTTTAGTCTTCTGATGACATGCAGACAACATACCTGCTCATTCTTGGAAAGTATATAAAAAATACTCTGCTGTTTCCCTACCATACTCATAAGAATAGCAATTTTAAAGGAAAAACAATATAGATATGGATGCTATTGGTGAAATGCAGATTGGCCTTTTTGCATCAATAAAATCCACAGAAGTAAATGAGAAGCAGGATTTCACCCCATTTTTTTACACTGCCCTCATCAGTAATGTGATTGTGGCTTTATAATGTGAAATATGATTCCAATAAAATATTAAGAATGCAGTCATCAAAATACAAAAAAGTTACATTATGATTCATTAAAATGATGTCAAGTAAAAACAGTAGCATCTTATACAGCAATTTGTTTACTCATGTTGAAGATTTCCACAATATACTGCATTCACACGTGGCATACATACGTACACACATTCCCACACAGTATACTGTGTGTGTTCAAATGCATACGTAAAACTTACTGGAGTCTTCAAAAATGACCATCTGCTACATGCACGGTATTTTGGTATCTCTGTATAGATGCTCTAGGTATGTACCATTGATTCAATATTCAGTTCTTTATCCATCAACCTGACCAGACCATCTGGACACCTTAATGAATCTATTAATGAATATCAATCCTCTAATCAGCACATGAAATCTCATAGGTACTCACCCTGCAAACTGGGCACTGCCAGTGACTACTGCTGTCTCTAAGCCTGAACTCATCAGACAAACACTTGGAATGATACACACGAAAACACAGGTCACATATCAACACCTCTCCAGGCAAATGGCATTCAAAACAATACCAGTCATGATTTTCTGTTTCCCAGTCCTACAAAAAATACAAAATATTTTGGTATGACATTCTGTCAAAATCTGCAGGAACTAAGAACAAAATTGATATGTCTTGAAATCCAGCAGCAATTAGACATTATAAACATTTTAAGAAGTGTATAATGTTTAAAAAACAGGGGAAAACCTACATGGTTGAAGATCTTCATCAATTTAATACACACTAACTCAAATAGAATATGAATGCCAAGTTTTAGGTTTTTTCAAGTGTCTGATTAGTAACAATTTCAAATATGAGCTCTGTCCACAATGAAAAGTGGGTTTGTTTTCTACCTTTGCGCAGGACACTTGTTGACCTCTCTGTATTAGACTACAAACAAAAGTTTGTGCGCCTCAACAGACCATACCTATTTCCTTGGACTATTTCCCCTTGTTTCGATTGTTACAGTATATTTTCAACTGTAATTTTCTGAAGGGCGGTCCCTTCCAGCCTTTACTATCTTGAAACTGACAACTTTTCAGCATCAAAGTGTTGAGTTACAAGAAATAAATGAAATTATGAACCTATTACTGCAAGAAATGTTTCTGCTAAGCAATCCCAATGCAATTCAAAAAATAGAAAATGTTTCACTTGCAGTGCCCAATGCACTAGGCTTATTCCTCAAATGTTCTACAGAAGACAAAGAATATGGTTCTGCTGATGCACAGATGTCTTTAATATAATCTTCCTTGAAAATTCAGCCCCAACGGCCAAATTCTGACCTTTGAAACACGTGCACAAGCTTTGCTGAAGTAAATGAGAGCAGCATGCATATCATTTGGAGGCAGAATTTTGCTCTAGGAATCTATAGTACTAAAATCAAGCAGAATTGCCAGTGGCCACCGTTAAATGTTTATGTTTGTTATCTGAAATGCCACACTTTTCCTTTTTTTCTTAGAAGACAAAATAGCTGTCATATCTCAGATAAAATTCCCAATGCCTTTTCATGTCAAATGTCACTTTTCAAGGGGTTCAGATCTCCAAAAAAATTACTCCTATTCTTCAATAAATCATCTTGACAAAAATCTGATCAAGTTATTTTTAATGTAATGCTGTAAAGGTGGAGTTAGCTGTTCCCACCAACTGTCAGAACTGGCATTTGTCCGATTCTCGTTTTCCCATGCCTGGGAACTATGGTCATTTAAGCCCTTCTGTGAGAGGTCTCCTCCAACAGAGTAGCGTAAGAAGTGCTACACAGAAGTGGCACTTCCAGTCCCTTATGCTGAAGAGCAGCCGTGTTGTGTACATAATTCATCTGACCAGAGCCCCCATAAATATAAGAGATTTAGGGACAGCCTCAACCCAGATTGCCTACACAGAAGTTTATACGCCATGAATGTTGGACTGCAGGGGCAGTAAGTTTAGGGGAAAAAAACCCAAACAACCCTTCATCAATGATTTTTGAACTCAGAACTTTGCCCTCCTTTGTTGTTCAGATTAACAGTGTAACTTGACTCTTCTATCATTTGTCCTCATTTAATTTTACTTGCCAATTCTGTATCTCTCAGAATGGCATAACAATACCACCAAATTTGGTTATAAAGAACACATTCTTGTTTCACCAATCTTTCCCCTTTCACAAAGTCCAGTGGCCGCTTTCTTTACGATATTTTAGAAACAACTAAAGATACTGCATTGTCAATGTACTTGATTTGCCCGTAGACTGAGAAAAATCAGGATAAAGTACTGCTTTCTATTCCTTTCATATTAACTGTAATACTTATCTTCTTTATGAAACTAAAAAAAAAAATAATCAGATGGCAGCAAAGGGCCAATTAAGCAAGAAAAAGAATCAGTTTTGATTAAAGATCTATCCAGATAAAAATCAAACTGAGAAGACCCCAATAGGTCCCAGCTACTTAGGAGTTTCACCACAGAATCAGGATTCCAGGATTATTAATTTGTATTCATACTAGTTACTTATTGGTATATCCCAGATATTCCACTGTTAGGAAATATGCTGGCAAAGAGATGTGGAATTTCATAAACATACAGAAATATACTTGCTGGCAAGAAAAATCATACACTTAAGCCAGAAACCATGACATTAGATAAAACACCAGAAGAAGCTTCCTTCAGTATTCACTGTAAAGCTTTGAAAACACCATTATTTCTAAATATAATCACCCAGGTTTTTCACAGAAAAGATTTTTAGTTTAATGCAGTATATTTAGTGCATAAGTATATATAAAACATTCATTTGTGCAATATATTTGAAAGTTAATAAGACAATAAAAAAGGTACATAGCCCTTGTGAACAACTACCCTGTTGACTTCAATAGCAAGGTCAGAGGCATTAATTTTGCTCCAACAGCAATGAAATGTTATTGCTTCTCTTGGTTTACATAAGTTTGAATGGGAGGAGAACGTGCTCCCAATACATTTTTTTTCATGCAGGAAATCAGATTGGTTTAAATCGCTCAAACTCTGACTGTCAGTGCTCGGGATAGGACAGGACAAAATTCTCCGCCAGCTGCAAACACGGTTACGTCTGCATTTCCAAAATACACCACCAGGTGTCATCAGCCACTCCGAAAATGACTGATTAAAGGGCAACCATTGTAACAACATCTTGAACTGTAACATGTGAGTAACCACTTCCAGCCCCCGGGAGAGAGAAAAAATCATCAAACTACATACATACATAATGTAGACTAAACTCAGAATTGGAAGTGATATGGATGATGGTGGTGGTTAATATAGTAAACTAAGCTATCCTAATGGAAGACAGAAACGTAATAGAAAATATGACAGAATTCAAAACCACATAGTGCAAAAATTGTTCACCTTGTTTTTTGCTGCTGTCTGGGAAAAAGGCTGCATACCGTAGGCCTTTCAAAATAAAAACAAAACAAACTTTGTATCTATACTGTAAGCCATCCAATTATCAGGATATACACAAGGCTAGAAAGAATTCATGCACAGTGATCAGGAAATCAATCTATTATTTCTAACAGCTGGTTGCATACATTTCCTCCTGCATTTCTGGAATGCTACCTAAAGCTTTCACAACATTTTGTTTCTTTAAAATATCCCATGTACTTATATCATTAAAAGAACCCAACACCCATCTTCTTCCCCACATACACACCCACCACCAGGCCAACTTAAAAATCGTCAAGAATATTAACGATTGTTACTTAATGCACTCTCTTTGACACATAAACCTTCTTTGGGCGTCAAAAAAAGATCCCTGTGGCATAATTTACTGCATAGGGAGTGGCCACACCAAAACCACAGCAACGTCTGCTTTGCTGCGCATTATCAAAGATTAAGCTATCACTTTATCAATAAAACTCACAGTTCTTATTTGTGTATAAAAGGTGATACATCTTCCCGGGGCCATGCGGAATGAAGGAAGGATCTCCACCACAGGGACTCAATTTGCCAATATCCTTATTTCCTGATGCAGAGCAGGGAAAGCCTCTTGGGTCACCGTGCTGGCAGACGAAGGGAATCCTCTGCCGGCAGCACCCGGCTGCCCAAGTTCAGCAGTTCAGCAGCACCCAGGGACTGGCCACAGCCCCCAAGAGGGAGCGGATTTGGCAGCAAAGCTGCATAGCTCAGATGTAACAGGAGGCCTTCCCCCTTCGTTTTACTCAGCTGCCCATTGCATTTGTAGATACATGCATCAGCAGGACAGCAAATGTCTGCTTGGGGGATCGTATTTAATAGCCAAAGAGCTATGCTCTGTTAAGCAGAGTGGGATTTTGCAGTGATAGGGGTCACTCGTGGTCACTTGCTCTTTATATTCAAATCAGTCAAACATTACATCATAAAGGTCACTTTGCACTGCCATAAATAGTTGAGATTTCTCAGCAACATGAATGAAACAATGCAACAATTTTGAAAATAAGGCTTAATTTATGACCGACACATAAGCTTACTTTTTTGCGATTTGTCTTAAGTAGGTTCTCTTAAAGCAAATACATAAATTTATTCTGGAAGTACAGAAAAATAACGGGACAGAAAATGTCAGGCTATCCAGAACATTTGACAATTTAAACACAGATAAACCCAACAGAAAGGAATGAATCATCATGTCGTAGCCTTTACTGTAGAATAAAATATATAGTTGTTGTCAAGGAAAGAATAATTTTAGTGCATAAAGAAAATGCCCATTATAATGCAAATGTACGTGGAAAAGAAATGCTTACTCATTAGTAATGGAGATTTACTTAGCTGTAATTGAAATAGGGAATCTGTATGTTGGAGAATGTGACATCCTGCTGTACAATTAGCATACCATTAAGTAGGAGATGTGAAGCACATACTGACAGTAAAATTAACAATAACTAAGAGGTCACAGTTGTAACTATTAGGTCACTTCCACACCTTAGCAAGCCCATAATTATGGTAAAAAAAGATGTAAAAACAATTAGTAAATTTTTATTTTCCTATAAATTATATGTAGGCATAGCACATGAAAACAAATAACCTCCTTCCTCAGACTTTGTCTAAAAGGACCACTTTGCCTTTTTATAATGCATATTCCATTAATATAGCTAATTTCTTACCTGTTACATCTGTTTTCTCCGAGTCCCTTAATGGTAGCCCAGATACTTGGTATTAAGTCACTCTACTATCAGGTGGAGAGAGGAAAAGGGAGGGGGAAAAAAGGCAAAACTCTATTCATGAAATTCCCCTTTATGGGGATTTGCTGGTTTCACACTGTTGAACTAGATTTCCCAAACCATCCAAATTATGGATATCCTTTGGACCCAACCAGTAAGCTAAAAAAAAAAAAAAGGGTCACATAGATGGGAAAAACAATTGTAAGTCAGTTATCTCTTTGGTGCAATCATGTTTATTTATGAGTAGTATACATACAGTTCTGTTGTCCTAAATTGAATATGACGCAAAGGAAGGAAAGCATTTTCCATGGAGCTCATGGTTCCTAGCATTTCCTGTGTGGCACTTGTCCCATAGCACTCCTTGGACTTTCTTTTTTTTCCAAGTGTTCTGTTTCAAGTTCTTCTCCAGAGTTTCTTTGCTGCTTACATATGCACTGCTGTGGCATTTCTCTATCTCTCTCATCCACACTCTTGCACACACAACTCCTTCCAGATCACTGGATTTTCATTCAGACCTACCTGTGCGCAAACTCATGGTCAGCCCTGCGTAGTGTCTATGCTTTAACAGTCCCTAGAGCTCCTGCTGTCTAGCAGATAAAGAACTTAAAACGGTTTTTCACATGTAGTCTAACGGAAGAGTATGAGCAGATGTACAGTAGATTTCACCCACTTTGTATTGTAACAACACTTTTGGTCTGTCACAGTGGTGGAATCTAGAATGGCACCAAGGCTCATGCCAGCAGAAAGAAGACATTTACAAAATAGAAACTATTTTAAAACAGTAGTATTTGCATGCTACATTTATTTCAAGATGTTTTCAAATCACCAGCCCAAAACTTTAGTGTAATCTTTTCCTGACTATTTCATAATCCTCTAGAAAACTGAAAAGGATCTCAATGAATTAGTTCCTATGATTTCTCAGAGTCCCATTTCTTTGACAACTAATGAGGCAGGCCATGCCCAATTTGAAGATACAATTTCTGAGGCAAATGTGATTCTGCTATTTTAGGATTTGGGAACAGCCATAAGGAACACTACTTTCTCTTCTCCCCACCTCCATCAGCTTCAACATCAGAGTTATTTCAATTTTCCCACCTTCAGGTGAGAGAGAAGCTTTCAAAATTTTCGATTCTGCTGTTAAGGTTTCTTTGTTGGCTTTCAGTAGTTCTTCACTGAAACCCAACAAAGTTGAGCTACTAGCCTATATCAAGTAGACAGATACAATGAAAGAAATACCTCCCACAAGAATTACACTTTACTTTTTTCACGTCTTTCATTTTGCTTTAGGTCTTGCAACCTGCATCCATCATCACCTGCTGTTGTGAAGTAATTCCTATCTTCTTTACTTATTCTTTCATTTTTCAAACTTTCTGCTGTAAATGAAAAGCCTTTATTATAACAACAAGTGCTGGTACTGCATGCTAGCATGGGTGTATCTTCCATACCATCACTATTCTCTGACATCCAAGTCCTCTTCTTAAGAGGTCTCAGGGTATGCATGCTGCAGGAACCTGTGTCCCCATTCACATTACACAGGGAAGCATCTATTTATTTCTAAACACATTCATCATTCTTAATCAATCAGTTCCTTTCCATCTTTTTCAGGCAGCATCTGGTGTCTGTTCCCATCAAGGTTTTCTCAATTAGACATGAGCTTTACTATAGATAATTGTTAAAACTTTGCAGTGGATTTTGCGGTCTTTATGACTCACGAATGTAATGCACCACTGTGGGAAACCACTACCTATGTGCACTCCTGTCCTCCAGTACAAAACCTGAAGGAAATGCTTCTTACTCATACATTTGCTGTAAATAGCTACTTAAATTATTTGTCTGTTCACCAATACTTCTCTCAAAGTGTAAATATCAGAATCTGTGCCCCATACAAAAGGCAGTCTAAAACAGGCTCAGACAAGAGCAGATGTAAGAGCCCTTAAGAATTGTGGAAATGCTAAACTGTGCTCAGCTTTGAAAGGTCTCCCCATGTCCATCTATCCTCTGCTTTTGCAATACTGTTGAACTTCCAAGTAACTGCTCTGTAATAAGAGGAGTTTTAAAAAATGTTGCTGTTTATCTGTAAAGATGGACATATTGGAGCCTTATTCCTTCTTTTTTCAGAGGAAGACTGGCATGGCACCTTGGACGTGCACACTGGCCTCTTTTTTAAACAAGTTGTATCTTGCTGGGTACAGTAGGTAGTAAGAAATCTTCAGCTTATCATGGATCTCTGGCAGATGTATTGGTTTTCACTCAGACACTAGCATGCAGCAAATACTACCTGGGTCGAACAAACATAATGTGTCATGGAACACCATTCCCAGTATTTTTTCAAACGCAGCGGGGACACTGTGTATGTTTTTCACCAGAGGTCCTAGCCTGCTGTGAGGGCAGTCCTCATCCTGCCCTTTGGGTCAGCCTTCTCTTCATGCCACAACATCCCTGGCTCCATCTATTCCTTAGCGAGCATGAATTCTCCTGCAAACTTGCTTTCAGTAGCCCGCTGAATCTGCTTTTATCTTTTCATCAGAATGATAGGTTAGGCTCCGAACTGAGGAAGGCATGATTAATTCCTTGATGCCTCATAGGACTTACTCCATCTTTGCAGCAGGTCAATGGTGAGTATTTCTCTTTTATCACTGCTGTACAGAATCCATACTTGATCAGGATGACTGCTTTACAATGATAAAGTTTCTTAGATCATCCCATGTTTTACACTTAATGTTAGAGTAATGCATTAGAGTAAATTCAGCATCAAAATTCAGCATCAAAATAAGCTTATTTTCTCCCCTGTAGTTTCCTTGTATATGGTATTTACTAGATACATTGCCTCCTGGTTTGCATCTATTTTTTTTCCTACTGCTTTTGCTCATCAAAAGTGCTCAGCAAATAAACAAGCATCCATCTCTCCTTCAAAGCCAGGAAAACTTCAGCAGCCAGAATCCCTTTATGAAAATTGTTTCACTTTATCTTCTCCTTCCTTTTCTAGAAAACTACCACAGCAGGTAGCTACAATGATGTGTGCTTTTACAGACAGGATAATCTGTCCATTGCAAATCAGCTGCCTTTATAGATCCTTTCCTTTGATGATCTGGGCTTCATCTTTAAAACAGATTTCCATAAACTGACTCTGTAGGACACTTAGTAGGTAGTCATTACTCATATTTTATCACAAAGAAACCCAAAGCAATTATGAGTTCATATGTCCTCACAACTACCTAGGCATTTTGCATAATTTCAAGTACATTTATTTATTTATTT